ACCTCAAAGAATACAACAAACACTGTTAACGCATTGATTTCATGTAGTTCAGCGCAGGCTTAGATCAAATAGACTCGGAAGAACTCCTGAGCACAAGTGTTCATTATGCCTTTATACTGTATTGAAAAATCCACTTAGAAAATCCACTTTACTTCAAAGAATAAGAAAAGAATTTTAGTTTAAAAGAGACTACGATTTTGTTCAATTTCAAAAAGGAAAAGAAACGTTTTATTTTTTATCAATAATTATATGAGAATGTTCGTTTTAAGTAAAATACAGAAACGAGATACCGATAGTTGAAATTTTAAATATTAAAATTTTAATAATCATTTAGATTTTAAAATTGAGCTGAATAATCTACATATTATTAGTTTTTATACAATATTTCTTTTGTCATACATTACCGTTATTGCCAATAATTTCACACCAGATACAAAAAAATTTTGATTCTTATGGTATTAAAATAGCTGCTAATGATCATTTAATTGTTCAAGCACGAAATAATGACAGAAATTTTTCTATTCGTTTCCATAATAATACAAAAATATTGGGTGTATATTGTAAAACTCGATATCCAACAAATACTTTGTATTGTCAGAATTATACATTGGGATGGTACTATTGGAATACTGTATCGTATTCTACATTTAATAAGACATCAAATACAACATATATTGCTAGTCATATTATGCGTTGGACAAATACTTTCAATCTTAATTGGTACATATACAGTTTAGCTGTTGGAAAGAATCAAAATAAAATGCAAAATTATTTTACGTATATTGGTGAAATTCTTAACTCATCTTTTCCACTTTCATATCCAGCTTTATTTATTGGATATGGTAATTATTATAATCCTGCTAATTGTTTATTTTCATCTATAATTCATGCATTAAATTTTACACATGAAGAACATATTGTTTTAGGAATTGAAAGAGATTGTTCAGTTGCTTATGGGGGTTTTTCTAAATCCTATAGTGTAATATATAATCTTGTTTGGTTTAATACTCCTCCATGGTCAGGTAGTTTTACTTGGTCTGATTCATCGTTTATACCTTATGCTATTGGTATTAGTTCAAACGGATATGGAATTATTGTCGGTACAGCTGATAGTTCACTAAAAAAATGGCCCAGTGCTTATTTGATTCAATTTGATCAATGTTCATATATACTTGATCCCTCTTGTATTTCAATTATGGATCAATATTTAGTTATATTACCAACATTTATGTGGCAATATAACGTTGTACCAGATGTATTTTCTTCAAATAATTTTGATCTAAAACTTATCATGTCAGTTAGTATTAACGATAAGACAGATATTGTTCTATTTCGAATTCAATATATGAATATGGTTATTCGTTTATGAGTAAATCCATCATTAAAATTTAACTATATTGATTCTCGTACTAATGGTGAACAAATAATTGGATATGGAAAATCTGTTGAATGGTTAGATGAATCAACAGCAGTTATTTTAGCAAATAGCTATTCATTAGACTATACTGAATGGAAATCTTCAACAATTGAAATGTGGTGGTTTACAAATGATTCTGATTTTAAAACAATTTTCTCTATTTTTCCGAATAAATATCAATCACTTTATCAACCACCAATAAGTTCAATATTTATAAATGTTTTAACTACATTAGAGTCAGTTATTTTTCATGATGTCAATGGTATAGTCTATGTTATTTTACCTGCTACTCAAATGCAAAGATTAATATTGGTAGTAGTCCAATTTATTTTTCATCAGAAGACTTATGTATTGCTGGAACATATAAAAAGTCTTGTACGATTGGTCGATTTTTATTTAGTACATGTGAAAATCTTTGTTCAATGGGCATGAATAATCCAGGTTATTCAATTAATACAAGTACTGAATGTATCACATGTAAAAATTCAACATCATTTTGTCCATTAGGTGCTGTAAGTGAAGTTAATCCAACAAAAATGTCTATTATTAGTCAAGCAGTTTCTTATTCACATGCACCCGACAATACAGTATTCGACGATATTTTAATGCAAAATACATTTAATATTAATTTTAAATTGGAATATATTGTTGTTTCACCTTTTTCTTGGGCAACTCTCATGCTTATATTTGCAATGATAATTTTAATTATGATAGGTTTATTAAAATTTTCTGTTAAATGTGAAAAATTTCGTCATTTTATAAAACAAATATTCGAACAGACGGATTTAATTGGTGAAGGAGAATTATGGCTAGGAGGATTAATGTCAATAGCCGTATTTGTTCTAATTGTTTTTGCTTATATGTTTAGTAATGCATATGTCAAACAATATCCATTTGAAAATGCTGGTAATTCAACATTTTCATGTGATAAATCGCTACATAATGCTCAGTTTAGTACATCAATGCAATCATTAGCATTACCTCCTTCATCTAAACTAGAACTATTATTTCGATTATCTAACAATCAGTTATTAACTCTTCATGTTTCATTTGTCAATTCAATATTTAACTGTACTGAATTGAGCGTTTACGAAACAATTGGTTCAACTGAACACGATGATATATCTGAACAATCGATATATCTGAATTACCATATTACATTTATAATCTTCAACAGCCAATAGTTAAAAAAACTGAAATTATATTTAAAAATATTTTATTTACAATGGGATGTTTAGAAATATTTGGACTCGTTTTTCTTATATCTGAATTAATCTTTTTACCAATATTTGAAATAATGTGTAAACGTATAACTAAATTAATAAATAATAAAGTAGGATCAGATAAAAATGAGATGCCACAACTAAAATGGTATGAAAAGAAACATAATAATAATTCACCATTACCATTTGTGGATAGGCGACGACGTTCATTTGAATTAGAAGATCGAGAACTATATCAATGGTATTATAAATAGAAAAAAAGACTGTTTCTTTTGAATATCGAGTTTATGATGATTTTTAAATTAAACTGATTGACTTTTAAATTAAACTTTTTCAGTTTACTTCATTCTTTGCTAAAAGCGATCTGAATTTCACGATGGCATCTTGAGCTCATTGAATCAAATACTGCATAATTCGGGTAAAAATGAATGTCTTAAAATTTCTTTTTTACACAAGAGGTAGAGGGCTATCTGGAGAATATGAAAACACATCTTTAATTATTCAGTTATTGCAGGTACCACGTTAATTTGACTGTCAAAAATCACGTACAAAAAATGTGCTAAAATTCAGCAAAACTCATCAGACGGTTACAAATTGCTAGAACCCAGCGATCTTGTTCCAGTTTTCACTTCATATAATAGAGAACAATCTCGTCTAATAACTTCTCTATTTATCATTGACGTAAAATCGGTCTCTGGAAGGCAGTGGCATTCAAACTCTGCCTTTTCCGTGCAAATTACACGGACTAACCATAATTATCCCGTGAAAAATAGTTGAGTGATCATAATTACCCCAAGTGACTTTTTTTCGAAAAACACATTCTTGTAGTTTCTAATTAATTAATTAACGGCAAGCACACATAGCATGCAATTCATATGGGTGATAGAGCTTGAATTCTCTGCAAGATGCTATAATTTTTAATTATTTTCTTTGAAATCCCGGTTGAAACTAAGTTGACTCAAGATTATCACAGCGATTTTTGCTGTATTGACCATAATTACTCCAAAATGGGGTACTTATGGTCAATCGAAAGGTACTCTCTGGAAATTGATTTGTACTAATTAGCGCTACTGAATTTTAAGAAAATTTTTACATCAATTGATAGCCAGGGGTCACCTCTATTTATCTGAAAAATATCGCTTTTCTCGGATAAAAATTGAGCAAACTATAGCAGAAATACGACGAAATTTTCAGGACCTGAACATCGAAAAGATATATATCTTCTTGTATGATGTTTTCTTTGCACTAGTTTAGCATTATTTTATTTTTGCTTCAAATATATATCATTCGACGCAGAATTTTGCGCTGACCACGCTTATCTTATTTAAAAGATTTTCAGTGCACTTGTTCCAGGAAAAAAATTCAGAAAGTTGAAAGCTGTTTTCCGAAATTTCGCTACTTTTCGAAAAACGTTCGATATCTCAGTTCCACGTAGCCCTCGAACCTTCGAGAGCTATTTTTCGCACTCAGCGGATCAAAGTGCGTATAGAGAAGTGTATTTCGAGGTTCTACACTTACGAGAAGTGTTCGGACTTTGGTCAAACTTTAGAGGTCTTTGATTTTGACACCCTCCGATTGTAAACCTATCAGCGACCTCATATCGAACGATAGCACCTTCATTTTCAAGTCATAAGTCAAGTCAAGTCAAGTCATGAGTAAAAAAAATTTCCACCAGTCAAGTCAAGTCAAGTCTAGGGATTTTCCAAGTCAAGTCGCAAGTCATGACTTGAAATTTCTTTCCCGTAGAAAACGGCATAAAAGAGTCTCCATTCCTTGGTATTAGAACGCAGACTTGTTATGCTATTGCAAAATGCGCGTCTTGTTGCTGTGCATAAATTCTTACATATTATAACATCAATATTTCCAAATCATTATAAATTATTATTTAAAATTAGATTGCATAAGCGGTTTAAAAGTATTCATGACTTGATTTGACTTTTTATTCCAAGTCACAAGTCAAGTTTTTTAAAAGAATTTTCAAGTCAGGTCAAGTCAAGTCAAAAATGACTTGACTTGTCCAGCTCTGTACAATACCCTTGAATTTTCTAGAAATACACGCACACTCATTCCATACTTCGCCCTCCCACGGATTCCACAATTCGGAATTAGCCGAAATTTCTAAAGTTTTGCATCAAATCGATTATCTTCAATGTTTAATTCTACAGTTCTTACCATAAGCACAAAAAATAAAATTCTATTCTTCCAGAATTCTACTAATTTATAGTCAAAAAGTTTTATTTTATGTCAAGGTCAAGAAGTATTGAAGTGAACATTATTTAATTCTATAGTTCTAGTCATTGGCATCCAAAAATATTTTCAACCCGTCGAAGTGGACATTGACTGTAAACTGGTAGAATTCGCAAAGAATAGAATTTTGCGTTGTGTGTCAACCGTAAGAACTATAGAATTAAACATTGAACAACATTGAATTTGAGGAATTATTCGACATTAGCCGAAATTTCCAGATCATTGATCGTCGTCAATGTTCAGTCCTATAATTCCTCCCTTGCCAAAAAATAGCCTCAAATAAAACTCCCACGTTTCTTCATTTGCATAATTAATTAGAATTGGGCCACTACATTCGTTTTTATAATTTTCATTTAGAATTAAATAGGCGCTGTATCAAGTCTACACTTTTATCTGATTCGTTCGCTATGCTATCCAAACGGCGTCGGGCCATTGCTTGAATATTATCACAAATACATGTTACGATCATTTATCACATTCAAACTGAGTTGATTCAAATCAGAAAAATACAGAGAATTATTTCTTAACTGATCATTGTGTGTGTGAGAGAAATCATAGAACGAATAAAACTTGAACAAACACAAGATAGTAAAAGTGATACAACTGTTTCGCAAACAACGCAAGCAAAAAAAGCAATATTTATCTAGAATTTTTTGCAAGATAACGGAATGGTGTGTTCAAAACCTGAGCCGTGTAACAAAACACAACAGTACTTTCTGATACAGAGTGTATATTTGGAAGTTTTCATGTTTATGTAGATATGATACTTTAATGATTTCAGACATGGTATTGCGCACTTGTAACATTAGAATAAGTAGTCAGACGCTGTTTCTTTCGATCCATAGAAGTGTAATAGTGTTGGAACGAGTTTACGTGTGAAAAGGTGTTACGAAAAATCCTTGTTTATATACCGTGAGAAAAAAAGGAAATGTGTGATTGGTTTTATAAAATTTACCCTATTCACCGCATAAGTACTATTTTCCAGCGAGATAAGAACTGGTTTAGCTAATTCTGCCAATACTCAATTGTCTCTTACGACGCAAGTTACTCACTCTGTGTAATACATACGGCAGTAAAACTTGATTTAATCTTAAGTGAAGCAACTCGAGCTCTGCTAGTACTGCCTCTGTCAACTTTCAATCTCTGAATTCATTTCACATTTATAAGTCCTTTGTTATACAGAGAAGTTTCATCTTAGCATCACAAAATGCATCAAACTTGTTTTCTACTGTTTGAAGCATGAATGATAAAACCATGTGCACTGTATAATTTATAGAAATCGAACGAAATCTGGACACTACGTTCTATTAAAACAAATTTATTATCTGTTCTGAATACGTGATATTATTTCCTTGGTAAACAAAATACATGACACGAAGACCGTTCTTATCCTATACATTGTTGTCTTTTTAATATAAAGAATAAGACAAAACATATTTTAAACGATAATACACAAATAATGTTAAAATTAAAGACTATAATACTTGTATTCTTTGCTGTATCTTACTGCTATTCGTGGCCTGTATATTATCCATCTACATTTTTGTTTCAAAATAATCCATATTTATATTATGTTGATAATAATAATTTACAAATAAATTCCTATATTCGATCTTGTCTTCAATATTTTTCATACGATCGACTTACTAGACATGTATCCTACAATTTTTTAACATGTAACGGCCATTATTTGACAAAAATTAATTATAAAATTCGAATTTTAAATGGTCGAATAGAATTATTAAAAAGTATTTTAATTCAATATGACGGTCCAAACAGACAATTACAAATGATATGTGATTCAATGATCAATTATTGTTACCATTATTTTCGTTCATTTTATTTAAGATATGGTTTATATTTAAAATTAAAAATTTATTGTGGCACTAGTGATGATGAATCAATTACAAAAATAAATGTAACACCTTATATTGATTATGTTGATGCAAATAATTGGGCAATAAAGTTTGATGTTAATACTGGAGAAGTTTTAAATGATCCGTTAATATGTAGAATAAATTTACATGAATTAACGCATCTATTCGGATTAGAAGACGCATATTATGATCATCATTGTCCGAATCGACAACTACAGTCATATTATAATTTAATGACAAATCCATGGACACAAGAATATTTAGAATTAACTTTTAATCAAATAGAGAAAATATTGTATCCATTGTGTAATGATCGTTAAATGAAATGTAATGGTGCCTGTCTTTATCTAACCAGTGCCAATCGAGAGAGTTATTCTTTTTTACCTTACGTTCACTATGATGCTGTAAGCATATTTAATTAAATTAATAATATTATTCTCAGTGTAGTCGTACTCGACGTCTTTATCGAATAAATTTTCTACTTTTAACTGGAAAGTTCACAACCGAGGTACATTATCTATGATTACGTGAAAAAAATGAAAAGTTTAAAACAAGCTTGTATTCAAATTATTTAGATTTGCGATGTGAATAATCTCTGTAAATCTCAAAAAAATTTTCTGGAAGAACAAGGGAAGTACTTATATTTTTCAATAAACGCGTTGCATAGAAAACCGTCGATCCAAATCTGATGATTGATGATTTTGAATCGACTATTATCTAGGGTTATAGTCATTCACGTTGCTTGGGCAAAAATTTGAACAGAAACGGCAACGGTTTTGCTGTTGACGTTCTCAATCCATAAGAGATCTTCACCCAAATCAAGGCTTTACCGGTAAAACGAAGGTTTCACACTCATTTAAGAATCTTACATTACGGCTTGTCCAGCTAACGGTCCCGTTTTTTTGCTCATTTTCAAAAAGTTATTGCAATAAAGTTACAAACTAATCTAAAACTGCAACTAAATAATTAAGTAGATTGAACATTTCTCTACAAAATGAAAAGTATCTCGACTGTGAACGTTGATTCCCTTTGAAAATACAGCTGTTGTACAAACAGCCCAAAAGATCTGTCAGGCGGCTATCTGAAAAAGTTGTCTAAAAGAGTCAAGACGAGCAGGCAAAAATTGACCAAGTTTCGGAATGGATTTCCGCATGGATTTTTCTCATTCTTTCTTCATACACAAACAACGTGTAGATTGTTAACTAATTTTTTACTAGGGAAGGGTCGGTCTTTCTACTATAGAATCTGCATTCAATGCGCACCATTATTATGAAAAAGTAATCATAGAAATCTATGGTTCCGAAAAAGGTAGGTGAAACTTGTGTCAGAAAGATTATACACTCACCAGTAACACAGAGAGAAAATTTTTAGTGACATGTTTTGTTCGAAAACTAAATGTTAAGTATGCTGTTCGACTCAGTTTTGTTTGCTGATCTCAGATATGTTATTAGTTATACTTGAAAATATAAGGGAAGTGAAACGGGCGCAAAATAAATGAAATGGCGAAGGTCAGAGGTGAGTGTGTAATCTTTCTGACAAAAGTTTCACCTGAGTTGTCGACACCATAGGTTTCTATTATTACTTTTTGATAATTACAATGTGCATTGAATGCAGATTCTATAGTAGAAAGACCGACCCTTAGTTCCTCACTCTCGCTCTCCTACATATGTTTCAATCGTGAGTGCTCGTTCTCAATGAATTTCCAGAGTCACACAATAGTTAACCTTCATACTTTGACCGGATAGTGTACAGTCATTGAAGAGCATTTGCTGTGAGTCAGAAGTCGAATTGATGTTCCTAGAATGAATTATGAATTTTTCTTGGAAAGGGCCTCATATCTCAGAACCTCATTTCCAGAGACCCCGATCGTAAAACAGCTGTCTTTCAGTAACCATTAGCAGCTACCACTCTAAATCCATATCGCAGATAGAGGAGAATCAGGACTACCTTTTGGTAAAAATAAAAAGTTTTCACGTCTCTTAAATCAGGAGGGCTATGACCATACAAAATTAGAAGTCCATAGCTATCATGGTTCTTGAGTTCCAGGGAGCCCGCTACTTTTGGGAGTACCGTACATAATCTTTACAAGCTTGTATAAACGTCAGCAATCTTAACTAATTTGAAATGTTTATTTGTCCAAACTATGAACTGAGCAGAACCCCAACCGTCTTTCAATGATAATATGATATCTTCATACATCGATTGTCTAATTACGTATTTTGTTCGAAATTTTTTCGTTTAAATTTTCAATACGTAAATCTAATTTAGCATAGAATCGCTCCGTGATATTAACAAATAGAAGGACTAGGACAACTTGAAATAATCGGATAATCAAAGATTCCACTGTTTTTTTACCTGTTTCGCGAAACCCTTCAATCTTCAGAAAAAACCCTGATTATTTTGCTAAATCGTAGTTTAAAAAATCCTAAGGTTCAGTATTCAGTAAGACTTATAAACCCTTTATAAAACCTTGAGGTTTTTGAGAACGACTAAAATACGTTTACGGGTTTAGTAACGTTTCCTAAACCCATTGGTAAACTCTTCGAGTTTTGTACACGACGCTTTTTTTTTAGAGTGTAGGGAGATTTAAAGTTCTTCTAGATTTGAATTTCCCCTGTCCCATATACACACTGATGAATACAATTGCGTAACTTAATT